AATTTCTGGCTTCATTTAAAGTTCACTGTGCAAATACCTTTTATACAGGTTTTCTATCCTTCACATTTGGAACACTTTCTCTCCTTATCTTGATCTCTTGAAATTTCTGGCTTCATTTAAAGTTCACCTCAGTTAACCACCCTCTTCAAGAGGCTTTTCTTGATTTTCCTGTTTCTGCTCCACTATCAGTTACATTGTATTTTTTTTATATTGACCTGTATGTGTACATCTTGTTCCCCCCTAGACTATAGAATTTAGAATTTAAACTCCTCACCTACTCCCTCCACATTGTTAATTTCTTCTTATATCCTTTCCATCTTTCAAAACGTACCCCATTTGAAGTCCAATCTAGTGGCAGAAGTCCTTCCTGATTGCCCTGATCTTCGTCACTTTCTGTCCTCTAAACTCTTGTTGCTTGTGCCATGCAAGTAATTACATTGTATTGCTTTTATTTTTGGTGTGAGTCATCTTCATAGTAGTGCATACACTCCTGAAAAATATGTACCACGTCTTACCCATTTGGCCCCATCTCCTCCACAGTATCTGGCACAGGACTGGATGCATACGTAGCAAATACTTGTTTGATTACAGGTTCCAAAATTTAGGCAGAAGAGCACTTTGAAGTCAGAACTGGATTTAAATCCCAGCTATGTTACTCACCACTGCCTAAATTCTCAGACCCTCAGCTTCCTAATCTATAAGGTGGAGTTAGACTAGTGATCTCTAAAGGACCTTCCAGCTCCAATTCCTAAAATATTCTAATGATCCATCTAAGTGAGGGGTTCTACCTCAAGGTGCCTCATGAATATGTGCCTGGAAAACTAAATATACTCCAATGGGGTCACCTTGTCAGGGATGGAAAATGAAGAATTAAGTGCCCTATGAGATATTCACTGGTTTCATACTAAAGACAGGCAAGAAAGTTGTGAAGGCAAATACTTTGCTCACCAAGGGACTCCCTGTGGTTTCTCATTTTCATTAGGACAAAGTTTCTTTCCACAAGGGACATAAACAGTTTCATAAATAGAGAGATTTGTCTGAGGCATGGATGCTGACCTGCTTTCTTTCCTTGGCATCAGATATAGCCTTGGAGAGTCAAAAAACTATACTACTCAATACCCCAAATTAAGGACATAGGAAGGCATCTGTGTAGGTTGAGAGCAACCATCCTGTAACTGAGTGAGTTGATGTTGGGGAAACAGCAACCAGAGATGGGCAAAGAAAAAGGACTCAGGAATGGGGAAAGAAGGAAGAGGATTTAAGTGTGAAATTGAAAATGTAGGGGAAGGAAAGCAGGGACTTGTACTGTTTTAACAGTTCTAGCAATGTCTGAAGTGAAGGAAAAGGTGGGATACTTATCAAAATTCCAGGTGACACAAAGCTGGAGGAGACCTCATATCTAAGGTA